TCCCCGCATTCCCCCCTCCTCCAGTGGTCTCCCCACACGCTGCCCCCTCCCCGCCCCGGACCCTGCTTGGCTAGGACTGCCTAGTCATTTCCAATTCCTTCTCGTATTGATCTTCCTGTAGAAATCAGTTTTGTAATTAGCTGCAAATTAGGCCTTCTACTGGGGGTGAGCCTGCCCCCTGATTTATCACCAGAGTAATTCGCTGTGATCGGAGAGAAATTAAAATGAACTCAATTAGGCTTCGGATTTGCTTTATGGGCCCTGCTCAGAGTTTCAGGGGGAAAAATGACTGTGCTGGTGCTTAATAGTCTAATGAAAGTAAATAAAGGTTATTCATTGTAATAAACCCAGGGACTCTGGGATGAAGGGAGTCCACAGCCAGCCTCTCCTTCTCTTCCTTTGTTGGTTTATGGCTTGGGGCGGTTTAAAATTTTATTAAGACAAACAGCTTTTGGGATAAAAGGCCGGGGGAGCGGGGGAGGAAGGGAAAGGGGGGTAGAGCTGCAGAAGTGCGGAAAACTAGGTTGGAGATGTGAGTCAAGTCTCAGCTTTGGGCCATGAAGGAAAATGCTCCGTTAAAGCCTGACCCTGTGGCTCACTGGTCATCGGCATGATCTGAGAGTGCCGGAGTTCCCATGCAGTGCAGTGTGCCAGTGAACGTGCATGGCAGTGCCTGCATGTTCATGGCAAGAACATGACCACATACCTGCAGGTGTGTGTGCGGAGGGAAAGGCAGACATGGGGATTTAGGGAGAGCACAGTGTGTGTGTATACGGCAAGTTCACAAGAGGAGGTAGAGCTCGTGTATACACGTGCATCAGCACAGTGATATATTTATAACTAGAAAGTGATATAAAATTCAAGTGTGACATATGTGCAATAACAGGGCAGTGTGAGAACAAGGGGTGAAGAGGGAGAGTGTGATTTCAGTGAAGGAATCTCCCTGCCATCATCCTATGGGTGCCTGTGGGTCCCCATTACCAGACTGGGCCCTCACCTGCTCAGATTTGATGTGCTCTGATGTTTGAAAGACGTCAGGGTAAGAAGGACGCTCAAAAACTCGATCTAAAGCTTCCAGCTGCTGCTGGGTGAAAGTGTCGCCACGAAGGTGCTTCCGCAAACTGTCCACGCTGCTCTGGGAATCTCCGTTGGGAACTGAGCCCTCGGATACATCTGCAGGGCACAGACAGAGAAAAGAGGGAGTTAGCACCACCCTGGCTGAGATCAGCAAGGGATGCGGGACAAGGACAGGGTGGGAAGGAGCAGGGTCCTCTGCCTCCACCCAGGGAGCTGTGCCACTCCTGTGGGAAGGGGAGGCTGCGGGGACCCGAGGGAAGCCCCCTCCTGCCTGCTGGAGCAGCCAGGCTGCTCCCGCAGGCTCCATGGGACTCCTGCCCAGGGTGAGCGAGGCTGTGGAGAATGGTGCTCAGCTCAGAGATGAGTTTCGGTTCCGCTGATTTTCAGTGTTAAAAATTGCCAAATCTCCATTGCTGAGCATAAAATGGGAGCAAAGCACAGCGATTAGCATCGCTAGAAAGCTACTGGAGAGGCAGCTAACAGAGAAACCAGAGTGCTGAGGATGGACCTGGAATGGCAAAAGGGCTCTCACAGCTTGGAAGAGAGTCAGTCGCTGCTATAGCTCCCCAGTCCCAATAGCAGCTTTATCTCTGTTATAATTTCCTTCTCATCTGACCTTGTCCTGTCATGCCCCAGGTAAGTCTTCCATCCCTCTCAGAGCACAGGAAGGATCCAGTTTCTGACTCCATGTTTCACCAGAGACAAGTCTCTCCCTGTGGAGTGTCTGTCCCATCCAACATACTTTGGTTTCTGTTATGATTGTGGTCCCATTCTCCTACATGTAGCTTGTGACTTATCACGACCCAAATCTCTGTTATAGAAGTCCCTCCAAAAGGAGATGAATCTTTGTCTGTGTTGGTCCCCCTTCCTATCCAGAATGAATTATTGTATTACAAAACCAAGTCCTACTCAGTGGGAATCAGCCTTCCCAGTATTCCTTTCTTCTTACTAGGAAAAAAGCCTTGTTCTGGTAGAAGCATTGCCAGAAGTGCATCGCTGTCCCTGCAACAGCCCTCTGACACAGTCCAATCTCACTGCAGTGCCTCCTGCCATGCCAGATTCCAGGTATCTCTATTTCTGTTGTGCCATCCCATGCCTCTTACAGCCCACTCATCCCCTCAGAGGTGAGTCCATTATAAATGCCCTGACCCATCCAAAGTCAATCTTTCCCTGTGATAAACCATCTTATCACCCACCTGTTTGTTGGGGTTTTTTTTCACCCTGTTATCCCCCAACTCAAATGAGGTGCATTTATCTCGGTTATAACCCCTTTTTATCTGAGGTGAGTGAGTCTCCTGCTATTAGCATCTGTCACATCCAAGGTGAGTCTGTCTGTTATAACCTCCTGTCCCAGCTGAAGTGAATCTTCCTTTGTCATAATCCCTCATCTCATCTGAGGCAAGCCTGCTCATTATAATCTTCTCCAACTGTGCTGAGTATCTTTCTGCTGTCACTTCTCAGCCTAACTTTGGTGAGAGTGGTTATAATCCCCTCTCTCATCCATGCTGATATACCTCCATACCTCCATGCTGAATCTCTACCTACTGCGCTTCATCAGACACAAGTCTGACTGTCTTATCATCCTGTCTAACCTAAGATCAGGTTTTCCCTCTTACACTGTGATTACATTCCTGCAACTTCAGCCTTTCTTGGTGGCTTCCAGTCTGTGAATCTCAGAAACTTGCTGTCTGTCAAGAAAGGGATCTGTATAGACCTTTTCCCTCCTCCATGCAACTGTGAGTGTCCTCATGGGCAGACAATGCTCCCAGAAGCCTGGAGTGGCATTCACTGTGCAACGGCCACTCTGCCGCTTCACCTTTTAGCTCATGGACGGTGCCAGGATTGGTATGTTCCTGGAACAGTTAATGCCCAACTGGTGGCCCAGAGTTATAACTGAGCCTGCTGCCTTCTGGCTATGAGATATATCCGTTTATAGGTGATTATACGATATGATATAATCAATAGTACATTATATACAGTAACGTAGTACAGTACCACTCACAAGACCATAGAAAATATTACATATTGATTTGTCCCAGCCAGCAGCCTTCCCTCGAGCAGCCCCTTCTCTCTCTTTCTTTTCCACCCCTAGCCAGAGCAGGGCTGTTTACTGGCACTGATCCCTGGCATTTTCTCCTCTCCTCAGGCTTATTCTCACAAGGGAAAATTCTCAAGTTCCTGAAAGCTGGAGTTCATGACAGATTTGACTAATAGAAAACAAAGCAAAGACTAGGCCTGGTGGACTGCACACTGTGTGTGTCAGTGCAGTCTTTGTGTTTTAGATGGACTGGGCTGTTACTGCAGGGGGTGGCTCTCAGGAGGACCAGGGTAGCTCAAGGCTCATGCTCCCAATTCCAGTAGCCACTTCTCTGGGGTCCTCCCTGCAGAAAGCTGGCACAGAACTCCTGGGTCCGGACTCAGAAAAAAAAAGTGTGTGTTTCTGTATCAGTGCTTGCCTCAACCTGTCTGCAGCCTGTAAAGCTGTTTGCCTTTGAGCATTTTTCCACACGTGTCAGTCAGTGTGCATGACTGTGCACATCATGATGCTAATACACATGGGTATTTTTGCAGTAGATCATTATTCTGGTATTCTTTAGATTCTGCATCACCATACGTGCCTGAGCAACATTTGTCTGCAGCAGCTGGTTTAGGCTATATTTGATTTTCAAGGATGGCAGCCCTACACTGTGCGTGGTGTTTGGTGTGAGTGGACGGGTGTTCACGTATACGGTAAAACTTCCATTGATTGTTGTTAAACTGGATTTTACCCTTAGTGAGTTGCCCGGGGTGGTTACACAGGTTAGCGCACACACGCACATGTACTTGCAGTTCCTCTCAGCCTGCAGAGCCCTGTGCATGCGTGGCTCCTCTGTGTGCACAGGCCATGCCTTTGTGTGAAGAAGCTGAAACCACAGCTTTCCCAAGTCACTGTAGGAGTCTCTTTTCCTTCATTTATTCAGGGGCCCTTCAGATCTTGACAAATCTGTCACTCTAAATTTGCGAGAGATTATGGTGCTCTCTCCCTAGCACAGAGAGAGGTGATATATGATATCTGCTGCCCCTATTGATTGCCTGATCTGGTGGCAGAGGGCTGGCGAAATGAACTTGAAATGAACATCATGCCTCAACTCATTGTGCGTATAATACACTACTTAATCCCACATTTTTCAGCCGCTATGGAATTCAATTGATCAATCATGTCCCTCTGATAGTACTGTTTTAGGGGTTATTGCTGCTCTGCTCACTGACCTTTTTATTTATTTATTTATTTGTGTCAGTGTATGTGTGTGCACACACGTAAGTGCGTATGTGTATTTGGGAAACTCAGGACCAGCTGATAAGAAAGGACCTGTATAGTCAGTGGGAAATGATAGAAAAGGATGAAGGGAGGAGGAAGGGAAGGAACAGGGTTAGAGAAGAAATCAGAATAATCAAAGCTAGCAAATAGATAGGGAGAGGTGGAAAAGCTTTAAGGAGAAAGACAATGCTTTAGTTTAGGTGGCAGTTCTGGATGGTGGGGAAGGCAATCTGCCATGGCCTAGGCTTTAAAATCTACAAAAGAAAAGGAACTTGTTGACAGAGGCCTGTAGGGTACCTCGAGGTGGACCTTGTCTAAACAGCTTGCAGTAGTATTGGACTTAATGGTAGGGCACACAAATCCCAAACTTCACAGAGCAATAATATGTGCTGTGCATATGGATTTTACTTATGAAGCGGAGAAAGTTTCACAGAGATGATCCGGAAAGACAGATTTATATGTCTTGTGTTGCTAACACTGAGACATTCACAGTCACAGATCATTATATTTTCTTCAAAACCAAAGGATTGTAAATCCCCTGTGTTTGTTTTCTGGTGTCAAAACCTATAAAGGATGCTTTTTCATTTTTTCCCTGAAACTGCAAAGGACAGACACTTATCTCTGGTTTTACATCAAAGTTGCAATTCTCATGTAAGCATATGACACTGTGAGCCGGACTATCAAGAGAAGCCTCAACTACTGTAATACACAAAGTATGGGAGCTGACAGTTGTGTGGGTATGAGCAAACATGGCAGTAAGGAGCAGAGAGGACTCTGGGGAAGAGGTGGGGTCCATCAAAGGGCTGCGGGTGAAAGCAAATGGAAAGTTCGTGGAGAAAATTTGAGTTGGGAAAAACTAGCAGATCCCATGAGGAATGGCACTGTGGTGGGCAACACTCACTTCAACTGATGAAGAACAGTGGTAGGAGTAAAAGCTTAAGGGATGGGGGGTTGCCAGGAAAGCAGCTCTTGGAAGGGGTGCTGCGGTGAAGCAAGGATTCAGCTGCGGGATGAGTCTGGGGATGCCACCTAGGTAACTGCACTAGCTGGACCATCAGGAAGCATCATCACCTTTCTCAGTTCCCTTTCTACTGGTGAGAGAAATTGTGATACTGTGACACAGGGGCACCTCCCTCTTAAATCAGCACACAGTTGCTGTCAGCATGATCAGGACTGGCTTTGCACATGCAACAGGAAACATCTCTGCTCCCAAGGGGCTGCCAAGGGAGCTACACAGCCAATGTTCGGCGTAAACCTTCGACACAAGACACAGAAATGCTCCATGGTATGACAGAAGTATCCTGACAGATAACAAGGAAATGCTGTGCCAGAGGACACAGGAACAACCTTAACTACATCTGATATGGGGAATACGCCCGTTAAATAGGTCCAGAACAAAGAGACTGGAAGCCACAAAGATACCATCATGTACAAGTAGCACAAAGCAGCATAACATAGTTACTTTCCTGGCTACAGGTGACAGAAAGCACCCTTGCTCAGGGTGGGATGGGGCCATCCCAACAAATAATTCAGAAGTATTGCTGACATAGGAAGAGATTTGTGGCACAGAAACATGTAGGAGGGTCATGAGAAGCTGTGCAGCTGGCAAACAAACATGGAGATGTTGTTCTTTTTTGGGGCAGGGGCTACTACTGCCCCCATGATGTGTCTGCCTGCTGCCTCATGGGGCCCCAATCTCAGCTGGGGCCTTGCAGCACTACCAATAAAAACCACAGTCATAATAAAAGTGAATATGACTGGCATGAGAACTGCCAGCCAGGTGACACAGCAGAACCCA